GGTGTTTGGTCAACGTATGGCTTTTCATTCAAAACATTGCTGTTTAGTCACATAAATCAGTCAAACCATTGCTGCTCATTCAAATTATTGCTGACGTCAAACCAATCCTGTTCAGTCAGATCATTGCTGTTCAATCATAGCATGGCTATATCCAGTACAAATGCTGGCCAAAACATTGCATTTCACTTAAACCATTGCTGTTCAGTAGAATTATTGCTGTTCGGTGTCATCTTTCCTTTTGATCCATTTTGTTCCTGCTTCGGAAAGAATCGACTACTGTTAATCTCATACAACCGTTAAACATCAATCAAGATGATGGATTGAACCAATCATAAATTACTCTCGCGGAGTCATTGCAGCTAATTACTGGCAAATATCTCCGGTCAAAACTTACGAGTTATTTTCCGCTGACAAGCTCGCCCATATGCTTAAGGCTAATGTAGTCTCTCGGTTGGACGGCGATCTGTAATTGAAAGTTGTAAGCCAGACCTGTCCTAAAGGCAACGTTACACAAGTCTAATTGGTCAATGGAAATGCGGTTTTGTTGAACTTACAGCAGTAGATATCGTTTAGTTGCTTTTACATTTAAAATGTGAGACTGGTGCTTGTACAAGCTGGTTTCTACAAATAATTTAGTCGCAAAATTAACGACAAACTGTTAAATTGCCAGTATCAATTTATGACGACAAAATTATAGCAATTTATGGGAACTGTTCCTTCTTCTGGCTTTGAAAATTAACAGTTACTGTAATAGTTAACGGCTTCGGATTAATATCATATATATATGTTGGATACAATATTATTGCAGGCTAACCCTTCGGCAGATTCAGGCAATATAGTCTAGACTTTACAATTGACCTTCGACCTCCTTGTGTAACCTTTGAGGTTAACGCATATACCTGAAGTCAAGGCCACAGCACACAGTATTAATTGGCCACCCTGGAGGCTATACGGCGCGAGTATACAAAGCAGTGCGGTCGGAATTCTCGAAGCCTGACTGGATTGACCAATTTGAGAGGTAGCCAGGAGTAAACTGAGTTTGTATAGAAATGTATCGGCTGTATGATTTGTGTTGTGAAGCCTTTTCTGTATAAATGCGCAGCATTACGTATACGCAGCTGCGTTCCAGGGTGAGCCGGCTGCAGTTCAGTTGACCTCTGCAGGGCGCTATATAAAGCGAGAGTCTCATTGTTTTCAGCTATGTAATAGATTATACAACAAACTAAAAACATATGTGTGCTCCGTATTTCACAAGTGTATTCTACTTTAATTCTAACACGTCGAATTGAGTCACCTTGGTCGTCCTTAACTACAGAAATCCCCATAGTACGAAAACTGTGATCTACTACCTAAATCCTGCTCACCCCTTACCCATCACTCATAACCACACGTGTGAATAATCGTGACGCCGGTTTCAAGCTATCCAGAGGTCGGGTGTAAAGAGCAAACGTATTCATTGGGACGACAACGCAGGTTAATTACAGTTTGTAGTAGATCTGGACCTTTGGTATCTAAACCCTGGCAGCTTCACTGAACTGTAAGGTAGAATCTGCTCAACGTGTCATGGATTAGTTCTGACTCAGTTGGCATCTTCCCTTCAGAGGTAATTGGTTTTAATCTAAATGTTAATGTTATTGATGTACAATCCCGTGTAATTCAATTATCTGTGGTTGTCTTTTGGCAGGCAGCAAATTTTGGATTTTCGACGCTGTAAAATTTTCAATCGTTTCGACTTTGCGGTAGTCGTATATCTTCCTGGTATCTCGTTGACGCGTGGCGCTGGGATGTTATCGAAGAACGCAGGATAAAGGACTTGTTTTCATCTCTTCATACCCTGACGCACTTAAACGACCTTCTTACGAACACAAGCTAACCAAGCTGCAATGTTGGCTGAAGTTAGTGAGCAGTCTGGCCAGATACAGGCTACGCCTACCTTTCTACACAAACCGAATCAAAATTAAGTTTAATTTGAATGCCACCTACTCCTCAACCTACTCCCAAACCGGCCAACCATGGATGGCCAAACCATTGCCGAATGTTTAAAACATTTTGAAACATTCTGCTGCCGTACAGAAGCCGACCTGCCCGAACACCAGCCAACATTGCTCCCGACCTACTCCTAACCATAAGGATTGCTCCGAAGGCCATATTCGGCTATGTCCGACATGGCTCTTAAAGTAAATAACCGTCTCCGTGAGGACTACACATGTTTCCCAATTTGATTTCATTATGTACAGGTGGCTATGACGTCAAGACGTCAAGACGAGAGACCTAAACTCCAGGAAAGCATGTTGTAGGAGAACGACCTCATCTGACCCCTGTTAAAGGCCGGATATTGAGAACGCAAAGAGGGTCACCATGCACCCTCTGGGGACTTGCACATATTAGACTTTTCATATCATCTGGGCTTATTTATTTATTTATTCCATTACAAGACGACTGGGTAGCATTTTCCGGTTACAAAGCCGATTTCCAAATGGGCCGGCCATCAGCATATGTAGGACAATTTTATGTTTAGTCTGAAGACAAAAGTGGACAACATACAAAAGAAACAAATAACACCGATGCATTTAATACTCCGTCCTGTAGCCGTTCCAAGGTTCACAATGTCCACTGTAGGTCAAATATGGGAGTAGAGGTCAGAAAGTTACATGAAACGTGCATCTAACCATATACTAGCAACGCGTTTCTGAATATCAGAATCAGTGAAAACTGCAATGCAAGGAACAGTCCAGGGAGGAAAAATTGGTAGGCAAAACGGAAAAGATGTGAAGATGATTTGAGAGAATGAATGGAGCAGTAGCATACAAACAGAAAACCGGGAATGGTGGGGAAAACTGGTAGTCAGATCATTGTTGGTGCACATCGGATATCAGACTAAGATAGATTCATAGCCATTTCTCTCGTTATGAGAACCTCAGTGAGAATTCCAAGGAATTGTCAGAATTTATAATGAATTTTCCAGATTTCTTGCCGATGTTGCCATAATCCCTTCCCTTTGTTCTTATGAGTGGTTCAAATCTTACTATCTGGTCTCTAAATCGAAAAAAAAATTTCAAGATTATATCAAAATATAATGGCAGTGGACAAGAAAATCATCCATATTTCTTTCGGTTCCCCTGCCCTCTAAATGGTTCGATTTTGACTCCTAATTTTTGCCACGCCGTGACCCCACCATTGTACAACTGACAATATGAACCGGCCATTTACGACTGGGGGATTTCCCTATAGGTTATCTGTCAAGTAAGTCCTGCTCAAAACGATCAATAGTTGACCTCACTGTCAAGTTGTCCTGCGAGGACGTTCTTTGCAATTCCGTGGAAACACCTCCTGTATTTAGAGAACAAAAAAGGTCAATACACCAATGAAAAAGAAATGCGGGGTCGTATACGAAATACAGTGTCAAGGTCACAACTCCAAGGGGTCTTGTGAGGAAACATCACTATCAAGTTCTCTTGCAAGAACGTTCTTTGCAATTCCGTGGAAACACCTAAAATAAAATTAAATGTATGGTCGTATATCATTGTCAAGTTTATAAATCCAAGGGCACGTTAGAGGAAACGTATATTGGAGAAACTGGGAGATCACTCAAGGCTGTGTTCTTAGAATTCAAACAGCTTAGCTTGACTACTTACTAAGAAGTAGAAGTATCAGAAACCATTTCGATAAATGTTTTTGGGAATTTGAATGCTTTAATTGATAACGTCAAATACACACTTAAGTTTGAAGGTTATGATAGATAACAATACGATTCAAACTTAGAAACATGGAGTGAAATAAGGTAAATTAAATGTGGAAACATGTTATGTTATTATCGTACATGTGCCAGCGCATTCAGCATTTAGTTGATCTACGCATACACAAACACTGCAGTTGATTCCATTTTCTAAATCCTAGATTTCATTCTACATGGAAAAAATGAATTTCCGTATATGGCAACCATTTTCAGTCTGACTGTACACAAGAAGTGCTTTGAACCCTATTCAGACCATGCTTTCTGGCCATGCGGATCAAAGAGGTGTGTGTGTCGGTGGGGGGCTTTGAGGATTAAATACTACCAAATAGTTTTTTCCATGTACATTCTAAAACACAGTGTAAAAATGGCTTATAATACAGAGCCATTTGGTGTTTAACCAATGGCGTCTTCAAATCAGCACAAGATATGTATTTGATATAATTACTTTACATTAAATTACTTAAGATGATATTAATGTTACCACGAATTAACATAAAAACCTGAAACATATGCACTTATGCACAATCACAGGTTTCATTCTATATGCAAAACTGACATATCTTACATGGTGATTGTTTTCAATATGAGTGCATTGTAAATACATGTGATTGTACATTCAACATTAAGGTAATATTCATAGTGTTTTTTTATACATTAGGAACCATGCATTAATGGGTACCTTACAAGGCCGCGTTCCTTATGATCCTACAATAATTCAATTGATATCGGCCATGCTAAGTTGAGCACACTCACTCTACATCACATTGAAACATTGCCAACGAACTTCATACACACACAATCCCTTTTCATGGCAACTACAAACTGCACTTAGCGGCTGTCCGCAAGAGGCCCTTCCGCGCTGCAGACGTAAGACCGCAACACTCAAAATGTAATAGAACAAATAAAATACATTGCTGCGGCCAATAGCACTGTCTTTGTGGACATAAGGGTAAAGGAAAGGCTTATCTCTCCAATCTGTTAATAAAACCTTTATTTCGGGTTTCAACAGAAACGACACTTTTGAGCGTCCAAAGATTCAACAATTTGAACATTAAAGGTTTCTCCTGTAAGCGCCCAGTGATTTCTAGGGCCTTTACATTATATTTCAATTATTTTTGATAATGAATGGTATCAAAGATTGGCCATTTCTTTTGTCTCACTTTGGTTTACACAGCAGTGGCGTTCCTATGGAAATGTAGATTGTATCACTGTGTTTCCGCATTTGCGTACATAGAATTTAGCTCTGAGACAGTCGATCCTATGCCATAAGATAGATTTTCAGAATCCAAGGATCTAGTAATGGTCTGCGACTGACCCCTCTCTGGCTGATCTTGACCAGCTGTGATGTTCATGTTGGATTCGGGGATGGTCTGAGACTGACCCTGCCCTGTCTGATCATGACCACTGGTCATTGCAGTAGCTGTGGTGTGTGTGTTGGATTCATTGTTGGCCTTAGACGGGCCCTGCACTGTCTTAACATTCTGGTTGTCAACATTTCCATACTGGTGATGACCATTATTTGTCATTACAGTAGCTGTGGTGTTTGTGTTGGATTCAGTGATGGTATTAGACTGGTCCTGCCCTGTCTGATCTTGACCACTGGTCATTACAGTAGCTGTGGTGTGTGTGTTGGATTCATTGTTGGCCTTAGACGGGCCCTGCACTGTCTTAACATTCTGGTTGTCAACATTTCCATACTGGTGATGACCATTATTTGTCATTACAGTAGCTGTGGTGTTTGTGTTGGATTCAGTGATGGTATTAGACTGGTCCTGTCCTGTCTGATCATGACCACTGGTCATTACAGTAGCTGTGGTGTGTGTGTTGGATTCATTGTTGGCCTTAGACGGGCCCTGCACTGTCTTAACATGATGATTGTCAACATTTTCATACCGATGATAATCATCACTGGTCATTACAGTAGCTGTTGTGTTTGTTGGATTCAGTGATGGTATTAGACTGGTCCCGTCCTGTCTGATCATGACCACTGGTCATTGCAGTAGCTGTGGTGATTGTGTGTGTGTTGGATTCAGTGATGGTCTGAGACCTGCCTGTCTGATAATGATCATTGGTCACTAGTGTAGCTGTGCTGATCATGTTGGATTCAGTGATGGTATTAGACTGATCCTGTCCTGTCTGATCATGACCACTTGTCATTACAGAAACTGCTGTGTTCGTGTTTCTTCCAACAACATTGAGCCCTAAAGGAGGAAGCCTTGTCTTTATATTGTAGCTCACTGTGGCAATGATGATGATAATCAGGAAGATACCAGCTGCTGAACTAAAGACAGAGCCAATGACAAAGGGGATGGACAAACTGTCACCAGATTCTGGTTTGTCAGAAGTTTCCGTTTCGATTGTTTTGCTCGTGGTTTTTGCAGGATATGCTTTTGTACCATTATTGCGTTTAAAGACCAAGTGGTAGCGAGAGGTAACGGTGGCGTTGGAAAAGTCATTAGCAATTTTCAATGGGTTAACGAGGGCTTGTGTTGGAGATGCCGACCCTGCAACATGTGCTGATGTGGTTGGCTCTTCACAAATTGATTCTGGACTAACATCTGAAAGCTTTTGTCCCAGAACTTTGGCGGGTGAATAGCATATTATCTTGTCTTTAAAATAGATATGTAGCCTGACGGGAGCCATCCTACAATCACACTGCCAGGGGTTCCCGGCTAGTTCTATGGTAATTATGGCTGGAAACAAACCAAAACCTGCCAGTGGAATGACAGACATCTGGTTCGCCCGGAGGTCTAAGGTTTGGAATCGGGGCAGATTTTCAAATGCACCCGAATGAATGGTAATTATCTTGTTGTTGAACAGACACAACTCTTGTAGCTTGGGTAGATTTACAAATGTACCTGCCTGAAGCAACTCTATCTGGTTGCTGTCCATACATAGATATTGTAACTGGGGAAGATTGACAAATGTACTAGCCTGAATCTTTGTTATCTTGTTGTTGGACAGGAACAAATGTTGTAGCTCTGGTAAGTTTGCAAATGTACCATCCTGAATTATTGTTAGCTGGTTGTAGCCCAGATTTATATAATGTAGCTTGGGTGAATGTATAAATGAACCAGGCTGAATCATTCGTATCTTGTTGTAGGACAAGTACAACTTACAAAATAGATTATAATCAGAAAGCTCAGTCGCCCCAATAACTTCAATACGATTTCTTCTTAAATCAAGGCATCCCGGTTGAAGGTACACTGGGTAGTTATTATAAATAATTTTTTCCAAGCCCTTTCTGTAAAATGATTGATCACAGGAATCTCCTGAATCCACCTCAAATAAAGGTGACGATACACAGCTGCAGCCAGCCTCTGGTGTGTTGGGCTTCTTCAGGATGATGAGAAGGAAAATCAGCATGTGTCGGAGCTTTCTTCCCATGGTGTCCTGGAAAACGGAAAGCTCCTTAGTAAAGCCACACAACCTTTATTTATTGGATCACAACATTTATAGCTACCTTTTTTACGTTTACCCTGCTGTTCGATGCGGAAATCTTGATTCACACAGAAGAGAAATAACTTTTCTTTCATTTTGCCCTTTTGCTAAATTCGTTATTTTAGAATTTCAGAGAACAAAAGATAAAATTAGAATGACCTAAAATACATGCGCTCGGAACAATCCCATTTATCTATGTGGCTGTGCTTTTGTCACATTGTTTGCTGCTACCCATGTACGACTGAAAGAATTGAAATGAGTCGACTTGAAGGTAGGCGTTCCTCCTAAGTGAGAACCAAGGCCACACCATTTAATTTTGTGGCTGACGTCCGCGCACGCATTGTTTTTCGGCTGCTCTCAACTGTTCTCAAGGCTTGGTACCTTCTGGGTAAATTGAGTCCAGCAGAGGTGGTCTTTTGGTGTCTGATCCGTAATGCCATGTCACAAACAATCCAAGGCTAGTGCTGGAGTTGATTGTCTGATCGTCGTTTTGTTGGATGGATTCGAATGTATGGTGAATACTTCAGGATAAAGGGAAGTGAGTTTCCTTCTTGGAAAGAGAAAACAAAGTGCGGCACGTATTTTACAAAGAGGGCGGTGGTGCTTTCTTGGATTAAGAGTCGTGCGATGCTTTCATGGATTAAGGGAGTTGCGGTGCTTTTTTAAATGTTGTTTACTCTTCTTACTGAAAATATAAACCATCTTTAAAAGGTTCATATGCCTTTTTCTAAAATATAAAAACAATAATCATAGGACTATGGGTTTTGCTCCCCCATAAACAATGCATTTGCACAAAGCCTTCTGTGCAGTAAAGACAAACATTCATATTGGAGAAACTGCTATAATGAATTCATTGTCTGAGGCCTTGTATGAGGTCAGGTTATAGTTGCCATAAGCCTAAAAGAGTTTAAAGGCATCCTCTGCAATTTGAGGGTGGCAAAACGAAATATTCTGAATAAGGCAATCTGTATAATATTGACACATACTATCCCACATTAGCACATTTGATTCAGTATTTCACACTTTAGGCATTTAAAACTACAGAAACAAGCCCCAAGATAAAATCCTTTAGTTTTTGGGAGGCACCCTAAAATCAATCCAGGTCCTTCCAGGAACCGTTTGTTGTCAGAAGTTTAGGTATTTTTTGCTCCATGAATGTCGAAGGTGCATAGTTTGTTTGAACTTCCTGGTTGTTGCAGAATCGGTGCCTTTTCAATGACTTTACCAAATCAAGCTATCAGGGAGCAGCATACCCTGGAAATCCAGACTCGCTGTCCGGGCCGCAAAAGCCCTTCGCCCGCTGGTGTAAATTACCGCTACGGGGGAGTCTAGCCCGGGGGGAGGTTGGCTGGCCGGACCAACGAGTAGTTCTAGGGCCAGCCAACTCCCCCCGGGCTCAACTCCCCCGTAGCGGTAATTTAGGCAGGCGGGCGAAAGGCTCTCGGCTGCCGAAGGAAAACGGCTAACGGCCCGATACTAGTTTGGCATCCAGGGTAGGAGCAGCACGCCTTTTACTATACTTTTTTCAGAAGTAAAAAAAATCTTCGAGCACGTTTGGGTTGGAGCTTAAACGTTTTCTAACAGCCGGTCCTCTCTAATAGCTATCTTTCCTTGCCGAAAGTGATAAAAAGTATGTCATGCACCTCAATATCTGCTGAGAAAATCAAACCTTTAATAAGTCATAATAACAATACACAATAGATTTGACTTTGATTATCCACTAACAGACACGTACCTTTTAAGTCAAGCCAGTGAAAATAGCTTCATGTGGTACATTCTGGTCAGAACCTCGGGTAGAGTGACTCTGGTGTAGGTTGCTGCTGTTCTTGTAGGGTGTGTTCTCCTTCGGTAGCTGATCCGCAATGCCGTGTGACAAACAATCCAAGGTTAGTCTTACGTACATGGTGGAGTTGATTGTCTGAACGGTGTTTTCTACGATTGATTCAAAGAGAAGTGCGTTGCTTTCTTGGACTGAGAGAAGAAAGTGGGGTGCTTTTCCGTATAAAGATAAGTGTGTTGCTAGCTTTCATGGAGGAAGAATGGTGTAATGCCTTTGTGGAAAAAGAGAGTTGCGCTGCTTTTTCGGATGAAAAGAAGAAACGCGCGGCGCGTTTTTTTTGGGATGAAGAGAGGTGCAGTGCTATTGTCAGAATAAGTAGCTAATGTTTACTCTCCAAGTAAAACAGAGGTTGGTGGGGCTGAACGGCCTCTGGCGATTCTGCATTGTACTGCAGTTGTACAAGGTATAAGGTACAACGTAAAGAATCTATCTCTAACAGCAACCTTAGAAATGGTTCCCTGCGGAGGCGAAATGAACTGCAGCCGTCCTGACCTGAAAGCCAGCTGCGTAATATGGCGAATTTATAACCAAACTGGAGAGTCGACACAATCCAAATTATAAAGTCTCACAAATCATAAATTGAATTTATTTTTGTTGTGATTGCAATCCCATGTTAGTACCCAAGCTATGCCGCGTGGATAGGGGGGTTGGGTAATGTATATCTGTGTAAACAAGAATTATGACCTTTAAGGTCACCCACGATGAAGGTAGTAGCTTCGTTACATGATACATGTCCATCACAAAATGGCATATATGTACTGTCCAGAAATCGGGTTATTTTGGTGAAAAAAGTGTATTTTCTCTTTTGGGAAGAGCCCAGGATAGTCAAAGCCATAATGTAATATTTCGTCCTGGTAACTAACCTGCACTGCCACCTTGTGATGTACTAAAGAACTGCATCTTGTTCAACGTGATCTAACGACTGCAAAAACCCTTGTTTCTTTGGTCGGATGCAATTTTATCTATCCTTGGGTACAAAAGGAGGAAAAAAAAAGAGGAAAAAGAGGAACAAAGCATGTAGATTCAAACTTCATTTATTTCATTTATTTCGAAACCTTTTAGCCCCGAAGGGCTAATCTTCCAAGGCTCAAACATTATAGCAATTACAACATAGTGGAAACATTTAAAAATACATACATACATACATGTACACCACATCAACAATAAATACACATAGACTAAACTAAGAATTTCAAAAACATGGAAACAAATAATCAAATAAACATCTAGCCCTAGGCTACCGTGGTCGTGTACATAGGTGGCGCTTTTGTGGCGAGAACACAATCCTAAACAGGGCTAAGATTGTATCCCCAGGAGATAGACACCAAAACATAAGCAATGTGGTTGTATATAAGAGAATCACAATATCACATCCTCTACCAACCTGTTGAAACTATTTTCAGAAATACAGGCGGGATGCCATCCTTGTTTTACGCGATCTTAAATGATGCATTACATTATAATGGAATTGTTGCCAGATAGTTTATAAATTTGCCAGATAAATTTTAGATTTTTTAAAGAGTTTGTTGGATCTGTCCGGAATTCATAGACAAAAGTCAGCTTTCTTTATAGGTGACTGTTAAATGTTCAAACATAAAAGACAAACCGCGCAGCTTAGCATGGGCGCCGTCTCAATGCTTTATATGGCTGCACAGTTTGAATACTATTCGCTATATGTCTGCTGGAGCATTTCCAAAACTTTTTCAACCGTAGCCAAAAGAACTTACATTGCCATAGCCATCTACGCACGCATTAAGATACCCTCTTGCCAATAAAAAAGAATTCAGATATCGTAAAATGAAACCAGACGTTCTTCTATGGCCACAATTCGTTTCTTTGAATTAGCAATGTATCATTAGACCTTCTAAAAATATTA